GGGGGGGGGGGTGAATTTAAAAGGAGAGAGTGAGTTAAAAAAAAAAACGGGGCCGATGAAATTGAAATACCTTCTTTCAATTAGTGTACAGTTTATTGGAATATTCAAATGCGGGGTGGACGTCTTAACACGTATCGTCAACATCCGCTGTAAGTGTAGTGATCTTTCATACACTTAATATGTGGTGTAATCTATGTTGTAGGCCGTGGTAGGTTGTGGTAGTCTGTGGAAGACTGTAGTAGTCTGTGATAGACCATGGTATAGTCTCTGGTAGTCTGTGGTAGGCCGCGGTAGTCTGTGGTAGGCCGCGACTCAAGTATGAACTAAGTCTTTCCACTTCTTCAAACATTTCGAGATTTGAATCTAACCCAAAAGACACCAACACCCTCACTCTTTTTTTTTTAATGGTACCCAAGTAACGATCGATATGATTAGTACGACTACTTTTGTCCGCCCCCTTTCACTCCTCGGATAGGATTAACATATGCAGGACTAAATAGAGCACTCGAGAGTCCTAGACATTTTTCCCCCATGGTAACCGTTGCGATAACGGATGCCTCATGTATATTCCCTTTCCCGACAACATAATAAATAAATGGGTATATGGAGGAGGTGGGACCATGTGAGATAACATAACACAGCGCTGGGCTAGTGAGAATAAAGTAGGTGGGTTTATTATGATTATTATTGCTTTTATTATTATCGTAAATAAATAAAGGTTCATTCAGCAGTGGTAGGGATCCCGGCCCGTAAACAAAACCAAAAATAATAAAAAAAAATTAAAAAATAAACCCAAGGGCAACTTATTTATAAGTTCGTATTTGCGAATCGACCGCCTCGTAGTTCCTGCAACGCTATGAATGATCTTCTATGATCACAACATACAACATCGCTGTCATTACAGCATACAACATCGTTGTCAACGCTGTCATTACAGCATACGACATCGCTGTCAACGCTGTCATTACAGTGTAGAACATCGCTGGTCAACGGTACAGTGCAAGCAGTCAGCTGTCGGTACGAAGGCCTGTCAAATGTGCCGCCGGTACTAACTCATACACGTATATGACGACTATGAGACGCCACAATACGAGTCCCTGTGGCTGTTGCTGTGTCTTAAATACATCCATACGGGATAAATGATATGTTAGACGTTCTAACGTATAGATTATACGCTGTAGATTATAAGGTAGAGATGATGCATTATAGATTGACCATTATGCTTAAAACATTGTAGGTGAGTAGACATCGTAAGTTTCAATCTTTTTTTTTTTCCCTTTCATATAGGTCCAACCAAACTATTCAATAACTGTCATCGTCGATGACAGCATAAGATAACTGTCATAGTAGGTGACGGCCCATGACAATCTTCGAGAAACTACAAGAGAAATTCTCCGCTTTTTCGACCAACCAAACGAACGTCTTTAGTGAAAACCTTCGCGCTATTTTTCAATTATTTTTTTTTTAAAGAAGACAAAAGAAGACAAGCAAAACCAGGTATAAATGAAACGAACATGAATCATGGTGCAGTTCCTATAAGTCAGACAGGCTGAAAAAAAAAATCAGTAAGACACACAGCATGGAGTGGAACTAGCCGGAAACAAATTTTCACAGCTGAACGGACAAAGTGTCCGATATGACGTTATTTCACATCAAATATCCGGCCAGTGGAAGTTTTCTCACGTGGGATGAACTGGGGTAAGTTGAATTTGCTTTGTTTGAGAACTCCTTTCATTGTCGGGTGTGGGGGAAATGGGGGGAACCAAGTCCTTAACGTGAGCCAGTGTACTGCTCTCACAGAGCTCGCATCAGTGCTCTCACAATGCTCTCACGGTGCTCAAACAGTGCTCTAACAGTGATCTAGCGGTGCTCTAACAGTGCTCTCATAGTGCTATCACGGCGCTCTCACTGTGCTCTCACAGTGCTCTCACAGTGCTTTCTTATTGCTCTCACAGTGCTCTCACAGTGCTCTCACGGCGCTCTCACAGTGCTCTCAAAGTGCTCTCACACTGCTCTCATATTTCTCTCATATCGCTCTCACAGTTTAACACATGTCATATATAGCTGATGCAGAACACTTACACAAATTAAACACATTTCTGCCAGAATTATATCTATCATAGAATCTGAACACATTCCTTGTCGTAATAGTAATTGAATAAATAGTTTTGAAAATTCACCGGTACTCTTTTTAATATGTCAGCTGGCTTTTTTTGTTGTTTTTTGTTGTTTTTTGTTTTTTTGTTGTTTTTTTTTGGTTGTTTTTTTTACTGAAAAAAAGAACACCTGAAAGCACACCCCCTTTAAAAAAAATTAAACAAACACATAACAACAAAAACAGTACCCTTGAGTCTAGACGCCCCTCCCCCTGAATCTAATAGAATACCCCACACTCCAATCTAAATATTTTTTAATCCGGTGACTATGCAATGCAGCCTTTTCTACCTGTACCCATCGGAGAACAGTCTAAATAACTACTTCTTAACTTTCTTTTCCCCAGGTGTCTGTGTCGATCCCTTGGGGTAAGTTCTCACATCTCAGCATTACCAACGTTAATGAATCGATCAATTTCTAGTGTAATCGATGGATGCGTCGGGTGGGAACTGATTGAGTCGGTTACTAATTTTTGTACCTAACTGATGGGTTCAATGCTCAATTAAACGATAGATAAAAATGGCGTCAATGGCGAAGTGTTGCGGCCAAAAAATATTAAGCATGTGAGGATGGATTGGAAAAATCAAATCTGCTTTCATTTTACATCTTTTTGGTTCCTTTTCTTAAAATTTGAACTGATCATCTTAGCCCTGGTCTCAGTGGATTAAAAGGTGTTTCTAAAATATATATTTTGAGTATTTCTTACATAATGTTTATATATTTAATGCCGTTAATAACATTACTACATTTTGAAATTGTAGTTTAGTAATCTTGGATCTATTAATGTTTGGCTATTTTTATTCTAGCTGATTTTTTGAGTGATCTAGATCTTATTCATTGAGTGATCTAGACCTGATTCCTTGGGGGATCTAGACCTGATTCCTTGAGTGATCTAGACCTTATTCCTTGAGGGCTCTAGACCAGATTTCTCAAGCCGTACAGAGCCAATTTGAAGAATGGTCGTGATTGTATTTCCATTTTTAAAAGTTGATTTAAGTGATACAATTTTCAAAATGTTTAAGAACCGCTGATCTAGATAATAAGAGAAGGTATAATTAATGTAAAATGATTGTTTCAAAGTTTTCATCAAACATTTTTAACCAATCAAATTTTTTTTTTCCATCATAATATGATTCCAAACAATGGACTTTAATATAGTAAAGGCATTTTATAATCTGGACGTCTGGGATAATTAACAAAGAAATATTTTAACGCGAGTATATTTTGTGCTCACCTAACAGAAGTCTTACCCTGATCGGAAAAAGAAAAAAAAAATCAATATTCGATTAAATACGATTTTTGCTATAGTGAAAGGGGAAGTAACGCTTATGTCAACATTGGCGTTTAACTGATCCGATAAGGGGATAAGATTTCTTCATAACCTCTCCGAGGCTTATCCTAAATATATCGATCTCATGTTGTAGCCCAGGAGGTGTCGGGACAACCTACGGCCCGCGTACCACATGCGGCCCGCTGAAGCGGTAAATCCGGCCCGCAAGTCCTTCCAAGAAGTCGATAAATGTGTTCGTATAATGTACACATTGTGAATGGGTATCCTGTTGAAAGAGTTGTTTTTTTTCAAATTAATAATCACATTGTATTTTTTTTTTAAATTTAATAATGATCAAGTCAATTTGGTTTATGTCTTCTGACTTCCGTTGTTGGGGTTGCTTTCTCAAGGCTCACCTGTTCCACGAGACCAGTTGTCTAGCTTCCTACTGTACTTTTTTTTGTTGTTCCCATTGTTTTCATTACCCATTGGCATTTAAATTTCCAAGTAATCCTTCAAACTGTTTGATTATTCCAGTCAAGTTTACTTTCTTTTTTGTGCTTGTTTGTTTGTTTGTTTTTGTTTTTTTTTCCAAGCTTTCAAATACCGGTACTGTGCTCTTGACTCGTCTCATTAGCGTAGCTAGAGCTAGTGCCGCCCGGGGCGGAATGAGAATGCCCCCCCTCCAACCCATCGTGCTTAATACAAAAAAAAAGTGCCGCCCCGGACGGACCTCCCCCTCCGCACCCCCCTCCGCACCCCACCCCCTTTCCTTCCCTTGCCGAGGATTTTACTTCGCATTTCATGTGGCTATATTGAATCCTGACTACGTTAAACGTAACCATATTTCCGTTTTAATGAACTCCCGATATTTAACCTCTGTATCGTATGTTGTAGCCTCATACATATCTTGTAGATCAATCCAATTTTAGCGTCAAGTATTTAAAAAAAATTTTTTTTAACTTAACCTCCACAGTTTCCTTCCGATCTGTTCAAGAAAAACTTCCCATTAGACAGTAATGAGTTTCGGTATGATGACAAGGGGATTGAGGTCAAGGTTAGAATTTACAAATACATGTTTTAGATATTGAATGTCACATTTTTAAAATTGATAAATGGATGATGCCGCATCTATGTCACATTTCTTACACGTGGTGATGGAATCATTGCAGCGGTGCACAATGCCCCGTAACTTCCACATCCTTCACCTGCCTTTGTTTGTGAATAGAGTGATGGAATCATTGCAGCGGTGCACAAGGCCCCGTAACTTCCACATCCTTCACCTGCCTTTGTTTGTGAATAGAGTGATGGAATCATTGCAGCGGTGCACAATGCCCCGTAACTTCCACATCCTTCACCTGCCTTTGTTTGTGAATAGAGTGTAAACACGGCGTCATGTCGTTCTGGGTCTCGCAAGGATTAAGGCCGTACATTTTCTGTTCAACTTGCAGACCTTGCTACGGATGTTTGACCAGGGCTCTCTGTACCGAACTCTTCACAGGACGTACAACATGCACACAGCAGATTGGAACACCAAGGTCATCAGAAGGGCCATGGATATGCTGGGGCATAAAGTGTTGGAGTGAGTATCCATACGGGGGTGAGAGGGGGGGCAGAGGGTGAACCACCAAGGTCATGAGGAGGGCGATCGGTTTTCTCAGCGCTTGCGTTTCCAAAAGTTTTTTCGCGTAGACCATGTGTTCCTGTCAATGCTGATACAATTTTATTAGCGTTCGTTATGTCACGGCAGGCTTTTTGCCGGCACCTCCGTTATTCAGTGTTGTCTTCTTCAATTGTTTTCTTACCGTGTCTATTTCCTTATTATTATCCATACCAGGTTTACTAAGAATGTGCGGTTTTTTTCTCCTTTATTTTAACACATCACTCTAAAAATCTTCGATTCTACTCATTGTTCATTCTTCATTCAACCACCTTCATTTCCCCAGCTTTGACGGTATCTATAACGTTAGAGTCGCCTTTACAACGTACGAACACAGCGACATGAAAGGCATGCTGGTCAACAAACGCCTGTTGCTAAGGACGCTTAAGGTAGGCTTTGTTTAGTTTTGCCCTATTATCAGAGTGCTATTTGGCACCAGCCAGATAAAACCCTAGTTTACATAATGTGGCCTGTCCTATCCGAAAGCTCGCAGAAGTCGAGCTCCGATCTCCGAGAATGTCCCCTGCCCACCATTGGTGTATGACAGAACATCAGGGATATTAGTCTAGCAATACCAGGGGTTAAGCAAGGGAAGCGGAGAGGGGGTCATGCATGCCGTGTCGCTAGGGGGGGTGGGGGGGCTGGGATCAAACTACTCGAACTACGAACTGATTTAATGGCTTACCTGAAGGGTTTTGTGTGCTTCCGTTCCCCAGAAGTTCTGATGGACAATGACCGAAAAGTAAATAGATAAATTAAATTCAGTGTTCATCATTCGTGGACAGAACTATTCCAGGATTCGGCCAGCGTCTTTATGTAACATCAATCAAACGTTAAAATATGTTGATACTTTTGTTCGTCGTCCGCATGCGAAGAAGATGACCAAGGCAATTTTTGACTTGAGCAGACCTTTGACTTGAGCTTTATTTTGATTAAAGTGAGGAAGAGTTGCTCAATTATTCAGCGGTACTCTCTCGTCTTGGTTTCTTCGATCGAATTGCAATATTTAGTCAAGACCACTGGACATAGACCAGGATGCAGTAGATGATCGTCAGCTTGGCGTGTTTTATTCTCTTTATGCGTACTATGTCACAGAATTTGTCGGAGTTTCATTGTTTCAAATTCATAACGCCTACGGGACTCCATCTCCGGGTTTGATTTCAGAGCTTGCCTCTCTCAGACGAGTTGCTAATCCTATGTTTACGAGTCCCAACCACCCGGGGTGCTGGTGATGTTTTTGCATGTCTGGGCGTTTTCTGCGGATTGAGACCCAGTCCGCTAGTTTGGACTGCTCGCAGCGCCACCCAGCACCCAATTCGTACACAATAATAGAATTCGGGGGAGGGAGGGGTGGGTTGGGGGTCAATTTACTTTTTCGTCGACAATCTAAACAATTGCAGATATCTCAAATATAACTAACTGGACCATCATCCCTATAACTGTTTGAGATCTGCTGTGAATTAGAGAATTAAGTGGAAGGCAATGAAGGGCCTAGAAGGAAATGAAAGGCCTAGAAGGAAATGAAGGGCCTAGAAGGCAATGAAGGGCCTAGAAGACAATGGATGGCCTTGAAGACACTGGAGGTCCTAGAAGGCAATGGAGGTCCTAGAAGGCAACGGAGGTCCTAGAAGGCAATGAAGGGCCTAGAAGGCAATGAAGGGCCTAGAAGGCAATGAAGGGCCTAGAAGGCAATGAAGGGCCTTGAAGGCAATGAAGGGCCTAGAAGGCAATGGAGGGCCTAGAAGGCAATGAAGGGCGTTGATGGCAATGAAGGGCCTTGAAGGCAATGGAGGTCCTAGAAGGCAATGGAGGGCCTAGAAGGCAATGAAGGGCCCAGAAGGCAATGAAGGGCCTAGAAGGCAATGGAGGGCCTTGAAGGCAATGGAGGGCCTTGAAGGCAATGAAGGGCCTTGAAGCCAATGGAGGTTCTAGAAGGCAATGGAGGGCCTAGAAGACGATGGAGGGCCTAGAAACCAATGAAGTGCCCAGAAGGCAAAGAAGTGCCTAGCGTAAAATTGTTTTTCTAAATGCTATGAGGTGTTACTTTTAGGTCGTTTCAATGTTGTTTTGGGGGAATGATTCATTGGACCCTTCATTTCCGGGGCAGCTCTGTGGGCGGGTGATCTCCCCGATGAAGTTGTTGCACAGAATCAAGCACATGAGAGCTCACCTGGAGGAGAAGGGCAGGATACAGCTGTACGAGTTCTTCAACCTGATTTTATGGTAGGTCACATGTCATTTTCTTTCACGGTAGGCCAAACGTAATTTTGTTTTACGGTAGGCCAAAGTAATTTTGTTTTAATAGGTAGGTCACACGTAATTTTGTTTTACAGTAGATCAAACGTAACTGTGTTTTAATCTGTAGTTCAAACTTAATTTTGTTTTAATCTGTAGTTCAAACGCCATCTTGTTTAATACTGGCCCAAAGTGCCGCCTTGCTAACGTAATTGCTAGGAATACTTTTCCAATAAAAGTAATGGCGAACGTGAGTAACATGTGTTTCCTGTCGTGCTAGGTGTGAATGGTATCCCGCGTTTGACCCGGAAAAAGTTGAGAGCGCCTCAGGAAAGAACGATTACTTATTCAGGGTAGGTAATTAGTGTGATGCATACTTTTTTTTTTTAGCACGCCATTAATGAGAACTCTTCTAAATATGCGTCCCTTAGGTTAAAAATAAATACCCGTGTCATCTCCGTCTCTTCACTCTCAAGTTGTTCAATAGAAGAGTTATCCTCCTATAAACTGCGTTTTTCTCTCTCAGGTGGTGGATTTCCACCGTCTTCTGTCACATCATGACGAGAGGATGTTCAACAGGCTCGATGCCCAGTATCTCAAGGAAGAGAGGAATTTCGGGAGAGAAGCCCCGGGGCCCAGGTCCGCGTTTGCTGACCCCGTTGTGGACACGGGCCACAGAATCGGTCAGGCAAGTCCAGGCTGGGGGTCATGACTTGGGTCATGACTGGGGTCATGAGTTCATGACTTGGTTCATTAGTTCATGACTGGGGTCATGAGATCATGACTGGGGTTCATGACTGGGGTCGTGATGAGACATGCGCGGAGGGCTGCCTTCACGTTGAAGCAGTAAGAAATGCACACACGGGGGGGGGGACCCCAAGGAGGACAACACAAAGTGATATTGGACTTTTCAGTCAAGGAAGTCATCGAAAGGAAAAAAAAGGACTTTGAGATAAGGAGGGGGTTTAACGTGTACCTCAGACTCACTTCAGAGTTGCCCGTCATATACATAAAGAATTGTACTGATGATAATAATTCATAACAATAAAAATNAGAAAGAAATGCACACACGGGGGGGGGGACCCCAAGGAGGACAACACAAAGTGATATTGGACTTTTCAGTCAAGGAAGTCATCGAAAGGAAAAAAAATGACTTTGAGATAAGGAGGGGGTTTAACGTGTACCTCAGACTCACTTCAGAGTTGCCCGTCATATACATAAAGAATTGTACTGATGATAATAATTCATAACAATAAAAATGTGGGGGTTGATAGTAATTTTAGAAGTCTTGCAGATAAGGAAGTCGTCTGGGTAGGGCAGGAGAGGGCATTTGCACCACCCCCCCCCCTGAATTTGAATGTTTTATTTAAATGGCTATGTAATGTGGTGCCTCCAGAAATAAACACCTTAACAAGCCGACCAAGTTTTGGTTTAACCCCACCCCCCTTTTTTTTCCTTTTGAAAAAAATCTGAAATGATGCCCCTGCTTGTAGATATAATGTATACAATGCCCTGATGACTACTTCCCTTTCCTTTTTATTTTAGTTTTATGTCTTCCGAATATATATATATATATATATATATATATATATATTATATATAAACATACAATTATTTTCATCGCTACTTCATAAATATGTGTTTTCCAATGGTCTTAGGCGACCCCTGTGGTCGTTTGACCCCCAATGGGATCGTGACCCATAGGTTGAGAACCGCTGCCTTAATACAACCTTTATCATCTTTGCACCACGTTATATTTTTTATGAAATTCTTCTCTTCTGCAGCATCGTTATTTTGTTTTTTCAAAATAATTCCCGCAAAATGTGTGAATATTCCGTTGCTAATCCTTGTTATATGCCTCCCTCACAGATGCGCCCTAGGGCATAAACCATGGCCTAGGTCTGTGTACAACCAATCAACGACAACTCACAGATAGGTTTTTTTGTCCTTAAAGCAATCCTTGCGACAAATATTTGAAGAGACGACGTGGACATATTTTAACTGGATGTCTAGACATTTTCAAACTGTGACTTTTTTTCTGCTCGTTTAGGCAGAGTATCATAAGGAGAAATATCGCCATCTTAAACAGGAAGTTGTGGAATCTGAGAAGCGTGTCCACTGTGCGCATGCCGGAAGTGTTAGAGATCGTCCAATCAGTGCACCGGATTTAAACGGGTATAAGTTGACGAAAGCAGAGACAGGTGGGCTGCTTTCAGGACAGTTCAGGAAAAGAATTCAATCAGCTCCTTCCAGAGGTTTGTGCAAATTGAACAATATATATATATATATATATATATATATATATATATAAACTTGTTTTAGTATACTTCTTTATACTGGTACTTATTAAATAACTAGTTCATTTTCAATGTAAACGTCAACATGTGTGTTAGCTACAATTCAAATTATTCAATGTTGCCAAATATTTTATCTGAACTTTTTGCGGGCTAAATAAAAAATTGTGGTAAGGTTTTTAACGGAAAGTATTTGGGAGGGAAAAAAATCTGAATATAAAGAAAGTCGTAGAAGAATTTATCTAAATGTCTTTTAGTCGGATGTCCATTTTGGCCAAACTGACCGCCTTAGCTAAATAATAATGATAAATCAAGACATTAAAGTAAATAAATGTGAATGGAAAAAAATAGAATCTTACGAGGCTTTTGATTGATCCTTGCAATGGCTGAATGGCTGAATGATGGCCGACTGATGGTTGACTGATGGCTGAATGAAGGTTGACTGATGGCTGAATGAAGGTTGACTGATGGCCGACTGATGGTTGACTGATGGTTGACTGATGGCCGACTGATGGCTGAATTATGGTTGAGTGATGGCCGACTGATGGTTGACTGATGGCTGAATGAAGGTTGACTGATGGCCGACTGATGGTTGACTGATGGCTGAATGAAGGTTGACTGATGGCCGACTGATGGTTGACTGATGGCTGAATGAAGGTTGACTGATGGCCGACTGATGGTTGACTGATGGCCGACTGATGGTTGACTGATGGCTGAATGAAGGTTGACTGATGGCCGACTGATGGTTGACTGATGGCTGAATGAAGGTTGGGTGATGGCTGACTGATGGTTGACTGATGGCTGAATTATGGTTGAGTGATGGCTGAATGAAGGTTGGGTGATGGCTGACTGATGGTTGTATGTTGGTTGACTGACGGCTGAACTATGGTTGAGTGATGGCTGACTGGTGGTTGTCTGTTGGTTGACTGACGGCTGAACTATGGTTGAGTGATGGCTGACTGGAGGTTGTCTGATGGTTGACTGACGGCTGAACTATGGTTGAGTGATGGCTGACTGGTGGTTGTCTGATGGTTGACTGACGGCTAAACTCTGGTTGTGAATTACTCCATGCATTAAAACATCGTTCAGGTTTGTCCAGAGACTCGGAACGTCCACACGTAACCGAAAGCATGCGGAGCCCAACCCCACGAGTGGTCACGCCAGGTGATCTATCCGACGTCGAGGCAAAAATGAAGGAACTCAATTTTGACATCAGCACACTGGTAATGTAAAGACTTTGGTGTATGTCTAACAATTCTGAAGTGCACGCACTACGGTTTGAGCGCCTCTGGGTGAAATTATATTTGTTAAAAATTAAGTGATCATCTCACAGTCTCATGACACAGATAGTACTTGCAAAGGAGTTGAGCTTTTAAATCTGAAACTACCGTTGCAAGCTAAGGTTCACAGAAATACAATGGATGCACGCATAGTTATAGTAACCATTTTCTTGACGCAGGATTGCAAAATACAGCTGCAGCTGGAGGCAGAAATGGATTTCTTTATCCCTGGATATAAGGACAGATTACCAAAACAAAAACAAGGTGGGTACAAATAGAAATGTGTATAGTCATAAGTTTTGGGGAGATGATTTTGGACAATGTGGACAGACCGATAGAATGATTTGGAATAATGTAGTTCAGTTTTTCTGGTTTTTTTCTCCTGCTTGTGTGTCCACTAGAGAATAGAGCAAAACATTGCAAATTAGCCACACAAAAAAATCTCGTGAAAGTGTATCAGAATATTTTTTTTTTGTTTTGGTGTAAATTGTATATTTCTATCATCCATACAGAAGAAGCTGTTTTGCCCGAAGCCAAGAAGAAGCCACGGCTTTGGACAGCAGAAAGAATCAAAGATTTGACCTACCCACATGTGGCACTGCCACCCACGCATGCCAAAACGTGTGACGCAAGGTATGTAGACAATGTATTGTTTCTGGAAAAAAAAATATGGTAGCATTTCAAATAAATACATGAGCCTTTATGTGAGACTTCATGAGCCTTTATGTGAGACTTCATGAGCCTTTATGTGAGACTTCATGAGCCTTTATGTGAGACTTCATGAGCCTTTATGTGAGACTTCATGAGCCTTTATGTGAGACTTCATGAGCCTTTATGTGAGACTTCATGAGCCTTTATGTGAGACTTCATGAGCCTTTATGTGAGACTTCATGAGCCTTTATGTGAGACTTCATGAGCCTTTATGTGAGACTTCATGAGCCTTTATGTGAGACTTCATGAGCCTTTATGTGAGACTTCATGAGCCTTTACGTGAGACTTCATGAGCCTTTACGTGAGACTTCATGAGCCTTTACGTGAGACTTCATGAGCCTTTACGTGAGATTTCATGAGCCTTTACGTGAGATTTCATGAGCCTTTATGTGAGACTTCATGAGCCTTTATGTGAGACTTCATGAGCCTTTATGTGAGACTTCATAAAACTCAGTCGTTCACACCTTCTGGGCATTTCGAAAAATGACGCAAAATCTGTTGTGGCCATTTTACATTCGGCTCGGGGAGGACTTCTTTGTTTTGCGTTTTACGTCACAGTTTTCTAATAATACTACATCTTAATCCATTATGGGGAAAATGTTAAAGAATAAAATAAAATCTTAGTTTAGTTGTGAATATTTTATGTATTTTTGAATTTTTTAATGTGTGACGTGACACTAAAGGGGTTGGGGTGAGTAAAGAATTTGTGACACTTTGTGACGGGGGGAGGGGGTTGGAAAATGTAATTTTTGGCGTGACGTAATTTGCGAACGACACCCTTACATAAAAAATCGTCCCCCACCCCACTCTTATTGTAGTTTTACTTTTCCAACCAATCAGATTCCGTGGTTGGGATGACGTCAACACACAGCCAGGGCACCACGTGGTTCTAGACACACGAACCCACGAACAGTCCGAGAAGGGAAAGCTACTCTCCAAACTGGAACGCCGGACCATGACCCCAGTCCTGCACGTGCACCCAGGGTACATCGTTCGTTACAACAAGAGAGCAAACTTTGCCAGGACCAACCACCTCCTCAGAAAACATCCTTGTACATCAGACGTTGAGCCAAAAGGTTTAGACAATGGCCCGCGTGTCGGTGACCCACTGAACGAAGGCTTGCCTGAGGAAAAAGTTGCAGATGAAAATGATCGAGTCTCTAGCAAAACTTACACCGAAATGTCAGAGTCTCAAATGGCGTCATTGAGCGTTGGAAGCAAGCACGCGGATTCTACAGTAGATGGTCGTCAGCAGCCCAGAGAGGTCAATGACGGTAAGACGGGTGATGGTTGAACATAAAAAAAGCCAAAGGGTCGGTTCTTGGGTAAACGACATTATCATTTAAGTCTTGTGGTAGGATTTGCCTCACCCCAGAGGCCTGAAGTAGGTTTCACCACGCCCCTGTGGTAGGTTTCACAATGCCCCTGTGGTAGGTTTGACAACGCCCTTGTGTTAAGACGGACCACGCCCCTGTGGCAGGGTTGAACACGCCTCGTCAACGGAGGGAAAGAATAAGATAAATATTTTTTTTTTTAAATATACTTGAAATGGATTTAGGGTCATCCCATCTACAGGGGATGCCATCCGCTTGAATCCGCCACTGCCCATACAGCTGGATTCTCGCCTTAAATTTACATTTAGCGGAGGCGGATTCAAAAAATGGTGCTCGAATTAGGATGAAAAGAGTTATCATTTTAGAACACATCAGTTCCGTTCCAACCTGTGATCGTCTTTGTTTTCGACATTGTATGTTCCACGCAGATGTATAGCTTGCCTGGTATTTGATTTATTCTTTCAGTTTCATACAGCGTACACGACTTGTTGTTTGTCTTCCGGTAAGTCTGAACATTTCACATGTCAGCGAATTGTTTAAATCAAATGCATTACATTCTTTACCTGTTAGGTCAAGTCGCCCCAACGTTGGCCCAGCTAGTGCCTGTCCCCTACATGGAACATTCCGGTCCTAAAATTGTAAATGTGGGTCAAATCGGGACCATATCTTTGCTGGAGAATATCCAGGTTTGTTGGCTACTGTGGTATTGTTGACATAAATCCTGATGTGTTCCTTTCAGGGCTTTTCTTTTTTTTTTTTTTAGCTTGTCCACGTGTGTTGACAGGGAGTCCAAATAAGCTTAGGGGCCATTCATAAATGATGTCACGCTATTGTGTCTGATTTTTGGACCCTTCTCCGATGTTTTTTAAACGTCTCAAATTGTCACACAACTTAGACATCCTCTTTAGACATCCTCATTAGACATCCTCATTAGACATCCTCATTAGACATCCTCATTATAATCATTAAAATTCGTTAATTCACCCCCGCAACTCTCGATGCGTGATGGCATTCATGGATCGCCCCTTGTCCCTCAAAACTATCATCAAAATAGATTCTGATCTCTTCTCGCAGGAAGCAGCAGAGTTGGAGGACAGATTTACCACCTGCTCAACAATAAACCATCATTCTCACGAGGAAGATGCATCACACAGGGACACGCAGAGAACCAAGATGGCGGACGTCCACAAACTGAGCGCATTTGATGACGCCGACGCCCGCGAGCCGCCACGCGGACAAAACATATCAAACCTGACCAATCACAGGAACTGCGGGTCCCACCCGTCCCAACGGGTGAAGTCTCCGCACGGGAAGCTACGGGAATTTTGCAGTGCTCCCGTAAGAGGGAATGACCCAATACCAACGTCGCCTGGCTTGCTGGGGGAGAAAATGAAGGTTAACGAGAAGCGTTCAATGCACACCAGTCGCGAGACGCTAACGTCAGAGGTGCCTGGACACAGAATAGGACGTTGGCGCCATTCAAGAGCTGTGAACCCAGACGCGGGCCGGACGCGTGGCATTAGTGGGACCAGCAAAATGCGACCCAACAAGGCCGGCAGAATGAATACCTCCGAAAATGAGACCATCGATTCGAAGGGTTTACAAAAACGTAACGCGGGAAACAGCTCAGCCGAGCAGACCGCAGATTTTATAGAGTGTTTGAGAGAAGAAATTCCCCAATCTGTAAGTTTGGATGGACGATCAGGCGATGAATTAGACACAGTTAATCGTTTTGTCCAGATGCCTGACGCTCCAGCTAACTCTCAGAACCTAAATTCTAAAATACATTTGTGTCAACTGAAACCCAACAATTTTACATGTCCTAAACACGCGGATGAGACCAAGATAACGCGCCAAAAAGCACGCTCTCGTCTGATTGGTCGAATACAGAATCCAAATTATAGGCTTTATGGAAATCGCAATGGAATAATTTACGCAGTTTAACATATGAATGTGTAGGGTTTTTTTTGCATTTATTTTTATTCAGATTGAAATGGAAGTATGAATGTCAGTCTTGTGCTTTGGCGGATCTGGGATAACTTATTTATTGAACTGTTTCCACGATAAACCCTGAAAAAATGCACTCATTGATAAACAATTGCTACGCTTGGCCTGCATTCCTCTCGTCGACTCATGTGCATTATTCTTTCAGAAAAATGACCAGTTGAAACGCAAAAAGATATTGTGTCGCCACATGCGGAATTTGAGTTTGAAGACCACCCCCTCCCCTCTCCAATACCTATACATATCTGGGGCTTTTTTGGAACAGTCTAACTTGAAAAAACAAACTTTGAAATATCGCTTTACCTGGCATATGCACTAATTCGCCCTATAACGGGACGGTTTGGGGTTGGGGGGGGGGGTGAATTAAGAATACCGAAGGCTTTCAAGCCAAAGTGGGACAGGGAATGGGCGAGTGGCTCAAATTGAGCCCTTACCTTAATTTTGTTGTTATAAATTCAAATTGCAAGGAAAAATGTGAGCACAAGAGAAGCGTTTTTGAAATATTCCCCCCCCCCCCCCCTAAATTAGACTTCATCTAAGAGCAACAGAGAAATGCAATGAATTTTTAAAATGTTTTTTGTTGTCTCACTTACGTATGCCTATCTACGCCGTCTGGGGCATAGGCCGTCCACAAGAACTTTCCACTCCTCATGGTCATGTGCTTTCCTTTCCAATTGCTTCCAGGTGTATCCCATATTTTGCGTGTCAGCCTCTAGCTCGCGTCTCCATGTATTATTAGGCCTTCCTCTCTTTCTTTTTCCCTTTGGGTTCCATGTTATGCATTGTCTGGTGGTGCTATCTGTGGGTTTTCGGAGCGTATGTTCTATTCCTCTCCGCCTCTTCTTTATGATATCTTCATCAATGGGCACCTGGTGTGTCCGTTCTAGAAAATCTTTGCTATTTATAACAAAGACAAAGAACAAACATTTTTGTTGTCACTAAATGGTAATGTTTTTTTTAAAATAATAGTTTAATATTTAATAATATTTTAAAAAACTATTAAACTATTTAATTTGTTTAAACTGCCTCATTAGTACATGAATTGTTTTTTTAAGGAATGCATCCTGCGCATCTAGCGCCTACAGTCAAACACACACACACAAAGCATTTAAATTAGTCAATACCAGCGGCTACCTGTTGGTAGCGACAGTGGTTGCCTATGACCATCGGAAAACACATATATTATTTATGAAGTAACAACGAAAATAATTGTATGGTTGGAGGGGGGGGGGCGTCCACCAAAACATGAGGAACTGTATTTAGATGGTCGCGGTATTAGGAGAGGTTGATAACCACAGGACTTAACACTGCTGACGGGGTACGCCGTGTGAGTATGCATAAAATCCCAATGGCCACATCTACAATAATTTTATTCAATGGCTGCTTCTCCTAAGTGCTAACTTCTAAAGCACACTTTTTTTTTTAGTGTAGGCGTATTTATTCTAGCCGCCAAATGGGCCCATATTATTCTATCCGTCTAATAGGCCCATATTATTCTAGCCGTCTAATAGGCCCATATTATTCTAGCCGCCAAATGGGCCCATATTATTCTAGCCGCCAAATGGGCCCATATTATTCTAGCCGCCAAATGGGCCCATATTATTCTAGCCGCCAAATGGGCCCATATTATTCTAGCCGCCAAATGGGCCCATATTATTCTAGCCCTCTAATAGGCCCAAATTATTCTAGCCGTCTAATAGGCCCATATTATTCTAGCCGCCAAATGGGCCCATATGATTCTAGCCGTCTAATAGGCCCATATTATTCTAGCCGTCTAATAGGCCCATATTATTCTAGCCGTCTAATAGGCCCATATATTCTAGCCATCTAATAGGCCTATATTATTCTAGCCGCCAAATGGGCCCATATTATTCTAGCCGTCTATAGGCCCATATTATTCTAGCCGTCTAATAGGTCCATATTATTCTAGCCGTCTAATAGGCCCATATTATTCTAGCCGTCTAATAGGCCCATATTATTCTAGCCGCCAAATGGGCCCATATTATTCTAGCCGTCTAATAGGCCCATATTATTCTAGCAGCCAAATGGGCCGAAATTATTCTAGCCGTCTAATAGGCCCATGTTATTCTAGCTGCCAAATGGGCCCATATTATTCTATCCGTCTAATAGGCCCATATTATTCTAGCCGTTTAATAGGCCCATATTATTCTAGCCGCCAAATGGGCCCATATTATTCTAGCCGCCAAATGGGCCCATATTATTCTAGCCGTCTAATAGGCCCATATTATTCTAGCCGTCTAATAGGCAAATATTATTCTAGCCGCCAAATGGGCCCATATTATTCTAGCCGTCTATAGGCCCATATTATTCTAGCCGTCTAATAGGCCCATATTATTCTAGCCGTCTAATAGGCCCATATTATTCTAGCCGCCAAATGGGCCCATATTATTCTAGCCGTCTAATAGGCCCATATTATTCTAGCCGCCTAATAGGCCCATATTATTCTAGCAGCCAAATGGGCCGAAATTATTCTAGCCGTCTAATAGGCCCATGTTATTCTAGCCGCCATCGTCTAATAGGCCCATATTATTCTAGCCGACTAATAGGCCCATATTATTCTAGCAGCCAAATGGGCCGAAATTATTCTAGCCGTCTAATAGGCCCATGTTATTCTAGCCGCCAAATGGGCCCATATTATTCTATCCGTCTAATAGGCCCATATTATTCTAGCCGTCTAATAGGCCCATATTATCTAGCCGCCAAATGGGCCCATATTATTCTAGCTGCCAAATGGGCCCATATTATTCTAGCCGTCTAATAGGCCCATATTATTCTAGCCGTCTAATGGGTCCATTTTATTCTAGCCGCCAAATGGGCCCATATTATTCTAGCCGTCTAATAGGCCCATATTATTCTAGCCGTCTAATGGGCCCATATTATTCTAGCCGCCAATTGGGCCCATATTATTCTAGCCGTCTAATAGACCTGTATTATTCTAGCCGTCTAATAGGCCTATATTATTCTAGCCTTCACATAGGCCTATATTATTCTAGCCGTCACATAGGCCTGCATGATTCTAGCCATCACATAGGCCTGTATTATTCTAGCCGTCACATTGGCCTACATCGACCTTGTTATGTAAGTCATCATGAGACTATATTAGTTGTTCAGATAAAAATAAATTGTTCCATGCCTATCTCCAACAATAAGGTTGCATGCATTAGTTGTATATTTAATGTCATTAATTGTTCAATGCCTATCTCCAACAATAAGGTTGCATGCATTGGTTGCATGATTAATTTAACACCACTTGTTCAATGTATCTAGTTTATAATTATCCAACATTAACATGTAATAAAAATTGAAAACGCTAATTCAAAGTTCTACAGTTTGTCCATTGCTTAATATAGATATAGTGCTGTAGATCAGTGGTTCCCAAACGTTTAAGTTTGGCGGACCGGTGAACCAGTTTTGAAATTTTACCGGGTACCGGTGCATGATTTATTTTTATACTTTTTTAAAATTCTATTTGACAATAAATATTTATGTTATGAGGACCGGCAGCGTTATGCATGCAGAACGTTGAAGGTCCACGGACAGCCATTTGGGGACCACTGCTGTAGATCACAGGAACGAACCTACACACAAATATCGTTGCACACATTAATACTTACTTTATATAAAATAATTAAAATTGCTTACTGTAGCACAGGTTTTTGTATTATAATAACTATTAACATCTATACTATAGACTATAGTATTTCCCTTAAAGGTGATTAACACAGGTAATTGTCATAGTAATAGAAGTTCACATACTGGCACTGGATCATATTCATATTTAAGCAACAACATGAGAACATAAAATCAAACAGATCAGGGGTCGGGAACCTATGGCTCGCGAGCCAGATGTGACTCTACTGATGGCTGCATCTGGCTCGACGACAAATGTTCAATTATAAAAAAAAAGTCGCATTAATGGTAAGAAATACTCATTATTTATTAGAAACAGCATAACAATGTTATTAAAAAGAATTCAGCGACATAATTATTGCATTTTTAGTGTTGAAATTACACAAAATGCACTCATTTACTTGAATTTTTATTTTAAAGTATAATGTATGGCTCTCACAGAATTACTTTTCAAAATATGTGGTGTCCATGGGTCTCTCAGACAAAAAGATTCCTGACCCCCGAGTTAGATGAAAAAAAAAGATAACATTGAAACCCTACATTATCCCAGCTCATATAACGGGAAAGCTAAGGGAACATGTTGGACCTGGAAATCCTAGAAGAATCAAACTCACGAATTCTTCACGAATTTGCGTGTCATCCTTGCGCAAGTGCCATGCTAATTTCTGTATCGTTGCAATTTTAGTATATGCACAGCTCATAAGAGATTTATTTAGCTTAGACTACGTATTTAACACAAAGAAGTTGCCAGTGACAAATGGGACAGTTGTAAGCTATTTGATAAAATTTTAAAATAAATCTCTAATGTATGTCTTCCCCCCATTATTCTTTTAGAGCAATTTTCAGTCTAACACATTGAAACAAACTTCTGGAAACCCCACTGGATAGTTCACAGCAGCAAATCAAGAGACAAATCTTCACCCAACAAACAAATTATTTATAGCTGAGATACCCTACCTCTCACTCTCACCAATTATGATACTATTTTTAGTCTTAACACTAGTTAAACATAGAATGCACAACATATATTTTTTTTTTAAACTTCTTTGAAAGATAGATGTCTATTGCAACCACACACAAAAAAAAAAAAAAAGAGTCAGTCCATTATTTTACTATACACTTTTAATACAAAATGATACAAGTAAAAATTCAATACAATGGTCTTTAATTTTATTGAAGAGATGAAGGATAGAAAAGGGGAACCTAATATTAAAAAAAGACCTTGAGAGAAAATAAGAGAAAAGAAGTACACAAAACTACAACATGAAATGCAAAGTGACAATAAAATTCACTCACAACTTCCCAACAGCACCCCAAAAAAAAATAAAAAATAAGTGAACATGTTATAAAAGCTTTAATGATGTCAGAAGTTTAATTCCTTCAATAAAAAAAGAAAAGAAAAAAAAAAAGCTAATAAGAAATAAAAACACCAATCCATTTCAAGCCTTGTTTCTTCGTTAACTGTTTACAACAAATTAAAAATCTACTTTTCACAGTGATTAAAAACCATGCACTAACCATACCAGAAACTTGTTAATGAAAGCTCAAATACAGAAAACTATGTGACAAATGAACAAGAATCACAGAAAAAGCCAGGACTGTAACAGAGGCAATAATGAAAAGATGGTTGGATAGACAAAGGCAATCCAAAATGTTGATTTAATCCACAACAGAGGAGAACATTGATTTGGGGGGTGTAAATAAACAGATCAATAAGAAAAAGTGACTAAAGTCAGAGGAAATAAAAAGATCTACTGTACTTTGATTTTTAAAATTTTAAATGCAGGTAAAGCTTGTCAAAGATGTGCTGGATGTCAACTTTGTGGATCAAATAAGCAGCTTTCACAGAGGCGTTCTATTTTCAAAGCTGGGGTGGTTAAAAAAAATAATTAAAAAATTCACACAAATTCATGATATTGAAAAGAAGAACTTGTGTTATGTGTGACTTGTCAATGCTGATACAAAGCCTCTGACAACAAAAGGAATGTCTACATACATGATGAGACAGGTAGACAAATTGTTGACATCAATGCCCTTTAATGTAAAAGAGGGTGTTGGGGTTTAAGCACTAAATAATGTGTAATTAAAAATATTCATAAGTGAATGGAACAAGATGAACAAAAGCTCTGTGACAAATATCTTAGTTTGGTGTTTAAAAAAAAAAAAAAGGGGGTAAAACGTATGCATGTTCCTTACATAATAATCACAAAATCATCTTGAATTGTGCAGCATTCCACCCTAAGTTGCATGCTGCAGTAGTTTCACTATGATAGCAATGACATCTCGAATGGTGCACCACTTCAGTATGTTGCACACTGGCTTTGGAAGTAACTTCCTCAAAATTCAAAAGAGGGAATATAAATATGAAAAGGTAGCTATGGGTCATCCATTCAAAGACTGTAGATTATAGCTTGCTATACCATATGCATATCAACGTACATTTGTTTTTTCTGATAAGACAACTGCAGGGCTGGGAATTGAAAACAGTGTTTGGTAGCACATTTAAGAATTTTTAGCAAGTTGCCTACTACCAAATTCAAACTTGGCCTACCAAATTCAAACTTGGCCGGGGGTGGGGGGTGGGGGGTAACAGTGTAACAATTACCCAAGCTAGCATCCCCAAAAAACAGTGCTCTTTGAACCAAATTGCAGGTGGTGCCCAGCCCATAATATTGTACTAAATGAACAGAACGTACGCTGATGGGATATAGTGCAGTAGGAAATAAACTGTTTTTACACTCACTATCTTCCACGAGACACGTTCCCCCATCCTATGTCATAAGTGTACAAAGGCATGCATGAGTAAAAAGTTATTTGAGAAGCACAGACATAAAGAACGATTCCCTACCTTACATCAAACACATAGTTACAAATCTTTTGAAAAAAAAAATCTTTACAATTTAAGACTTTTTTTCCCCCCTTTCTTTCTTAAAATACAAAATTAACACATCCAAAAGTTGTGTGAGAAATATTGACCTTAATGTGTATGGTAAAAACAAGTGGAACAGGTAATCTCATGCAAAAACTCCAGCTGCTGAAGGAAAAAATCGAACTGTCCCTCCGTGATGCAGCATTCTGACCATTCCTTGTGTACTACGTTCAGATCTGTTGCGAGCAATCAGCCACCTTTGATCACATAAAATATCAGCTGCAGTGAAATAAAATAAAAAATCCTCTGCTCTTGCTCAAATCACCTCTTAAAAGAAGTCTTTCCCCCACAATGGAATGACACAGTTTTGTAGGGTGAATGGCGACACTGCAACCTTTCAAATAGTTCTGTTCATTTCCCATTTAACCGCAGCTGTCTTGTCATAAATGATTCATCTAGACACAGACGAAGCTCATTTTGTGAAAACATCAGTAGTTGGTTACTGTTATTTGTTTTGCTTTTTTAATTTCCCAGAAGCTCCCTATAACATAACTGGCTGTGCAGATATATAAATACTTCTTATAAATGTCTACAAATTACGTTAATATAGTTCCACAAAACCTACACCTAACGACACCAATCCCAAACAACAGAAAAATCCATCCAGGCCATAGAGTCAACAAAACAAGGGAGGACTCCTTTCGATCGAGTTGCACTGATTCCCTCTGATATTTATAGCCTTAGAGAAAATAATCTTCAGTCCTCTTCTTCATCCGATTCTTCATCATCATTGTCAGTCTGCAGCCAGTTGAGCCACTGGTTCACCTACAATTGAAATAAAAGGTGGAAATGTAACTTAAGTGTTGACTCATTTATTGGTCTAAACAATGCATATAAATTAAAAATTTTAAGTATTGTTTATATATCTTTTTTGTTTCGATTAACCATGGGTGGTTTTGACCAACAGTCACTAAATTAAAAACTAGGGCCAGATCTCTGAGCATTTAGGTGTAATATGATAAAAAGAAGGGAGAAGAAATTTTCTTAACCACTGAATGACTTACTTGGTGTAACTAAAAAAAACTCAAGGAAACCAGACAAACTAAACAGAGTTAAGTTCACTACAGCAGCAACCTATCAACTAACCTGGAAGAGAGCCTTCCCTTTCCCTGGGTATTGGTCATTGACCTCTTCTTTCCAATGCAGATAAACCTCTTCATCAATCACCTCCATGTCATAGAGGTTAACAAAGAAGCGGAGGAACATACCTTGGGATGAATTCAACAAATTAAATATGTAGCTGTTTACCAGTTGGTTTCTGACTTAGCAACACAGATAAACATGGAACAGTCTCACAAAACCAACATTCTTGAAAACAACTATTATTTGAACAGGAATAATCAAACTAAGCATTAGGTCTCCAACTAAAACAAAAGGAGTTGATAACAAGCTTTATCTCATATGAATCAACAATTCAGCCTACATACCTTTGGGGAAGCCATGAGAATGACAAAACACCTGTACGGCATACAGGGCAGACATCTGTAGGTTGGTGTGATCTTGAAGGAACTTCTGCAGAACACCCTAGAAACATACAGGAAATGTTAGCATGTTATTAATTTTGTTAAAAATTACCAACCAACAAGTCATATTTTTTTTGCTCTGTTTTGTAAAGAAAGCTAAAATTGTTGACTCACCCTGAGCTGAACCAAGAGATCCTTCTCTCTCTCCATGAGAACTTTTTCAGGAGTCACAGTTGTATCAGTGTTGGGTTTTAAGGTACTCTCATTAGTGATGTATTTCAGAATGCTGAGGAATTTTTAAAAATTAAAATGACATTTGCAGGGACAAGGAAAGGTGATTAAAACACAAAGGATTCACTATATATTTGGAATACAAATGTTTATATAATTATTAATTTCTTCAATGAATATATGCTTTATGCAACACTCCAGCATAAGAAGAAAAATTAGTCACTTTATTTCTAACCTAAAGCAAAAAATTTGTAATTAATAAAAAAAAATACCACAAAAAAAAATTTCATGACAAAACTGAAAAAATTCTTCAGATAGTGACAAAAAATTATATTAATCATCCTCTCCCCCCCTTTTTTTAAAAGTCCTTAAAAGGAAACCGCAAACATAACAGTACAATCATTTCCAAGGGACTTACCTTGTAACAAGAATGTTGATAAAGCCAGGATCTGTTTGTAAGGGTACTTCAACTTTGTCTTTAATCCATTTGTACAAAGCAGCTGCTGTAGGCTCCACAGCTATCTGCCTCGTTAATTCTGCCTGAATGCGTAGCAGAGGGAACATGAAGCTGAGACCACGATCTTCCAATATCTCCATGAACCGCTCTTTATTTTGGTCAAGTTCTGCAAAAGAGAGAATTCAATCATCTGATTTGGTCTCTATTTTGAAACCTACACAACTTATAATAATTTGGCTAAATGTCTTGTGTCCTTAAACTACTTTTTAAACATTGAAAGCTTTCTTTTTACAATTGTGAGCACTGCCTCTAAGAGATTCTGAGACATTTCTTTTAATAGGTTGGACCAGGCTCGGGAGTAAATTGAAGGTATCTTATAAGGTTGGAAATGGTATCCTGCAGATCTATGACCAACAATGGAAATGAATTGCCCTGTCGGGCAAAACAATACTATAAATTTCTCAGAAAAATTGATAATATTAGTGATCAATATTTGTTAATAAAGAAAAAATAAAACCAACCTGGCAACATTTTTTGCAGATCAATTTTACTTCTGTTGAAATTATCAACAAGCCATTCCTTGTCTTTGATCTTGTGCATGGTTTGAAGACACAGGAGAAATAGAGGGTAGTGCACACCACCCTCAAAAGGCTCAGCAAGATCTGCTAGAGTGACTAGACCCAGTGTAGTTGCCATGGCTCCAAACCTTGCCATGTGAGACTTTATTAATGGTACGTCCGTTTCCAATTCACCCATTCGGTTACAAACTTGATGAAAGCCCTGGAAAGACATATCAAAGTTAAGCCTATAACCCAACAAACCAGATTAAGTCATAGGCATTTCAAATCCCATTAATTGCCACTTAAGAGTAGAAAAGCTTTTCAGTGAATAAACAAAGCTAGATACTAACCTCCATAAACTGATCTGAAGTAATGATGTTTTCAGACTTTAACTCATCAATCAGTTTCATTGACAACTCTTGTTGGGCATCTGCAAAAAGGAAAAGAAAATGCACAACTCTTATTATGCAAAACAATGGGAAATTATAACACAACATTTACAGCTTTAAACTATACAGTATTATGTACTAATTATAAAATATTATTTGTATATTGAACCAACCTCCTTTCTCTAGAGAGTCCATCATAATTTGAGCCAAGAGATCTGGAACCATCTTCTTTGAAAGGTTCATGTCCTTAATATCTGCTACAGCATCAGTCAGGCTGTGACTCACATAGCACTCAGACAGAAGATATTTCTTAGAGAGTTGGAGAGGAGAAAGTTAGTTTAAAAAGCTATCAAACCAAAAATCAAGCTTTAAATTTGTTTCTCAGGTGTCTCAAACAGACAAATTTAATTCTTAAAGACAAATAAATACCATTAACGAAATTTTGTGTACAAATACAGACCTATTTACCCTCCAACTATTAAAATTGTACAATATCATGACAAAATCGTTGAATACATTATCTTAATAGCAATAAAAATAAATAAAAAGTATATATAATATATACACATCAAAATCGTAAGAGTTTACAGGACTGCAAAAATCTTTAAAAATTAATTGTTATGGAAAATTATTGAAAAAAATATAACAAAACAAACCAGTTTCTCAATCATTTTCTCTCTGGTAAGTTTCTCTTTGACTGGAGACTTTGTCTTATCCTCTTTAGTCTGCTTGGCAACAAGTGGTTGATTTTGCTGCTGCTGCTGTTAAAAAATAGACTAGGCTAGTAAGTAATAAACTATTTTTTTGACAGGGCAAGACATAATCTCTGATGCATGCAAAAACTCTTGTGTAACAAACAAATAACACTACACACTATAGAGATTTAGAGTAAGTTAACACCACCAATCTCTTAACAGATTTTTTTTTAAAATTCTTAAGAGCTACTTTTGATACCTGTTTGTCAAGCAATGGGTTCAGCATTTCAGATATGTCTGTACTCTTCTTGGCTGCAAATCCAGTCTCCCTTGGAGGGGGGTGTTGTGCTTGAGCTGACCTCGGCAGCATTGATGGAGTGTTGGGTTTAAACATGGTGAAGTTCTTGACCGGGCGAAGGCTCACTTCCTCCTTGATCCCATTAACCACGGGCGGAATTGTCAGTGGTGGGGAGCTGGAAGGAGAAGGCTGGTTGGGAGCTCCTAAAGGAGCTGAGCCCACTGATCCAGACAACATGACATTGTGAAGGCCATTTGTCACTGGTCCAACCTGAGTCTGCTGCTGATTCTGCTGTTGTTGAGCTATACGCTGGAATCGAGGAGGCAAGTCTCTGTTTCCACCAGCTGAAAAAACAACATGTGAATCATTACGTTAACAAGTTATGTAAATTAATGGAGCTAATTCTTAACTAATAAAATAATTACAAATGAAAAATTAAAACCAGGTATGTAGAATATATATATATCTTCTAACAAGAATTTGAGTGAATTTTTTTTTTAAAACTCACTCTCACCTCCTTGTTTGTTCTGGTGCTGTTGCTGCTGGAAATGGTTGTTGGGCTGAAAGTTTTGCTGCTGATTGTTGTAACCACCACCACCACCACCTCCAGCACCTTGCTGGTTGCCGTAACTACCTCCCCCACCCTGTTGATTGCCATATCCACCCTGGTGGTTGTTGCGTCGCCGATTGTTGGGGCTGGTGTTGTTCCCACCATCCTGCTGCTGAGGATTTCCCCTGCCTTTGTTGTTGAAGTTGTTTTGGAAATTATTCTGGTAACCTGCAGAATAAAAATTGAGTTGAGAAATTATTAGTTTTCAAAAGTAGTATCTAAACTAAAAAGAACTGATATTGAAATATATTATTCTAATAGATATGATATAAAACCCCTTATAATTATTTTTCAGTCATCAAACTAATCATTTAAACAGAAATCATGATACAAACTATTTTTCCACATCAGCTTACTTGTTCATACATAGCTAAAATGAAACAAAAACAGTATTTCTATACACTTAAACCAATCTTGAAAGATTCAGCGATTTAAATAAGAGTAAAAAGATTTAAGGCAACGTACTGGGATTCTGCTGATTGAACCTGTTCCTATTGTTGTTGAATGAATTAGGCATTGAAGAGAAGGGATCCATCTGAATTACTCCTGGACCTACGCCAATTGCATTACCTAGAAAATTGGCAAACAGTTAATTGCACTACCTACGAGATCTACAAAATTTTGTTAACACATATAAACTGCAATGTATGATTGCTAAAGTAATGGACATTGCTTCAATTACCCATAGAGCCAACAGGCATACTAAAGATGTCTCCCATTCCACCCTTCCAATTGTTTCCTGGGATATTGTTCATATTCATCATGCGAGATTGCAGTAATGATTGGTTGTTCTGGCTGCCACGACCCTAATAGATGAGAAATTTTACTGTATAAAAACATGCCATGCAATATTGCTAAAGATATACTACAATTCAATACTGTTATTACCTGATACACCATACCGAGACAGAGAAACTTACTAAAAAGTTATTTATGTATCAATCATTTTACCAACCTTCATATTGTAACATTATACTTACATTAACACTAGCCTCTTCTCTAATCTGTGTGATGGTCTTGGGTCCTGCCTCTGAGGCAATTTTGCGTGGCTTCCACTGAAATAAAATAAAAACTTTGTTTCTACTTTTCCTAAATTTTTTAAAAGAACTTTGCCAGCACGTATTAACCATTAGTGTTAAAAATATAGAATAATATTTGAGAACTTCTATGAAATACAAGGACGCATTAAGACAAAAAATTATTATAAAAATCCTTACATCATTTTCTCGCAACTCAATCACATCCTGAAGCATGAAACGAATGCGCGAGGGAAGATCGCTATTGGTAGCAAACTGGTTGATTCGCTCAAAGTATTGGTCCATCCATGCCTGAAAAATAGTACATGTAAAACTTGGGATTCATAATTCTGAAGTACAATTTATGAATATTTTTGAATCACTTTTTGTTGAAATACACTGGATGTTAACAAAATTTACCCACCCGTGCTTTAGGTACATCTATGCGCGGGCCAATAGTGCGCATTATCTGACACAGGCACTCGAGGTCCTCCGACATATCTTTAAGCTGAGCATTCTTTTTCTTCTCCAGCAATTGCTTGATGCACTTGTGAAGAATCCCTTCATGCAACATGTCATGTTTACCAAGTTCACCTGCAAAAAAATATTAAACTTATTAACCTAACATTGTAAAAAATATTTAAGTAACTCAAAAAGTAATAAAATGTAGGTGCAAACTAACAATAGAAAAAAAAATATTTACCAATGAACTTGATGTTTCCAAGCATCTTTTTCTTGACAATGTGGTACTGCTCACACTCCTCTTCTGTGAGTGCCACATCTTTCTTGTCAAATGCTGCACACAAATGGAGAAAAAAAAGTAAAGTTTTACAAAATACTAAAATTCATAATACTTATGATACACATAGCATATGTCAGCAAAAGCTTAAAATATAAGGTAGAAACAACAAAATTACCTTCTGTTGCATGAGACCTATTCTCAAACTCATCTTGGCACTTGTTTAACAAGAGCCTTCGGAAAGTCTGTGAAAATCAATGTTTATAGTGTTGGAAACAAAATCATACATGATCAAATATAATAAGCGAAAAATATTTTTATATGCACAAAATTATCAGTGAATATCCATAATTTCCTTAAAGTTTAAAAACTTACTGTGACGTTATTGTTGGAAGGGGGGTCGAAGTTTGGAGAGTCCTCACATAATCTATGACACAGTTGAGCATACAAAGAGCTATACTTAGGTTCTTCTAAAGCCTTTTCAAAAATCTGCAGAGTTGTTTCATAATATTTATGAGAATAGTAACAAATATGAAACACATGATTTTGCTGATTTATTGTAAAATATTTTAAAATTTATCCTTTTGTTGTTTTTTTAAACAAAATTCTTACCAGGAGAATAATTCCTTTAAGGATAACTTGTGTTTCAATGCCTACATTTAGAAGTTCAAGACTCAGCTTGTCAAACTTTTCAGGAGTAAGTTTGTTAAGAATTCTGTGAAAAAGAAACAAAAAGCTAAAACAAATTTCCACACACATACAAAATATTGATGTTCTGCAATTTTTACTAAAAATGTCGATTCTAATTTGAAAACGCTGGTAGGAGGAAATCTCAAAATGAACACCAAACTTACCCTCTGACTCGTCTAAATATTTGGTCATTTTTGTCTTTGGGTTTGACACCATCCCTTGGAGTACTGTTGGGTGGTACCCATCGATTATTAGGAATAGGCGACGATGCGCCCGAACCGGATTTGAGAGTGGGTGGTCTCTCGTCCCTAAAAATGACAAAAATTGTTTGGTATCACAAAATATGATTAACATGTTATCTTAGACATAAGATTACTTTAATAATATTAAAAGTTAAAAAAATTAAACAACAAAAAAACAACACCTACCGTCCTCCTAAGTGTGGAGAAACACCACCCTTGGATGACTGTGAGTCCAGTATGCTGCTTATCTTTGACCAGTCAGTTACAAGCTCTTGCACATAAAAAAGGAATCACAACAAAAAGCTTTGTAGAGTGTGGGTAACCTGAAAAATTTGTATTTAAATACTTTAGAATAACTACCATTTCACCACATCAGAAAATATGAGGAAAAAAACAATTTTAATGTTGGGACTGGAGTACTTGTTTTTTAAACCCAAGAAACTGATAAGGTGGCCCATTGGTCTCAAACTTCAGAAGCTGCCTTAGTCACCATACCCATTGTAAATTTTATCAGTTCACATAAAAATTCTTAGAAACAGGTCACTGAAACAAGATTCAAGAAGTATAAAAAACACAACTGTTTTTCCTGATCATAGTTCATTATAATGTAATTCATTATATGAAAATCTCTAAGATGCCCTATACTTATACACAAAGATGGACAGTCTAAAACTGTGGTTCCAGCAACTATCAGAGGCTACTACTATAGGAACTAGGCTAAACTGTAATTAAACCCCTGGTCGCCCTGGTACTAAGAAGGTTAAAGAATGCTGGTCCAGACTACTTTATAGACAGCAAAGAAGGGGCGTCACTTCAGGTTTTATTTTCAGAAAAGGAGGGGGGGGGGGCAAAACCACAAAACTTCAACCGCTTGTTAAGTTGCTTATTACTGGAGACGGTTCACAGTACATAGTAGCAATTTAAGTAAAAATCTGCAAATGCATAGGGAGGGGAGGGGGGGGATATGCTCCACCCAGCCCTACCCAAATGATGTCCATGCAACAGTTTTTTTAAATCTCAACATCCATGATTTATCAATTATGCCTCAATGACAGGAAAACACCAATATATATAATATGGTGAAAATTATGGGTCAGTCATTCCGAGAAAACCTTGAGGAATTGGTGCTATAAACCCCTTTATTATACTTATAAGAACTTACTAAACTCTCCAGTCTCAGACCTCTCTCACTAACTCTGTTTAGAGTTGGATCAATCTATAGTTAAGCTTGAAGTAAGTTAGATCAGTAGTCACTGGAGACATGAACTTACTGCACTGAACCCCACCACTCCACTCTTGTGATCGGACCCTACCTCCTACCAACTCTCTGAGAAAGAGTTGCTTTGATGGCACATAAAATCTTAATTCGTAATTACACCAAACGTGTAACCTCTTCAATGAAATTTATTTAACAAAATGATGAAATTAGCTCAGATATTTAAAATTGTGTTTAATTCTTAACAGATTTTTGTGGCGTAGTATGTAGTTGCAATGATGAGTGAGTGAGATGAAGAAGAAAGAAGGAAGTGGTGACTAGTCGGTCAGGCCTCTTTCATTGCTCCAAATTGAACGGTTTTAAGAAATAATCTGAAAATTTTATCTATCATACAAATACTAAACATTGTATACAAGAAATTTGGAACATAACTTACCAAAATTATTTAATGTTACTGTTCAGGCAAGAAAAAATTTCAAGACGCTTGTCGACAGTCGTCAACAAGAAACTATTCAGTCGGGATATAACAACCCACAATGCATGCAAATGAATGACGCATCATGGGAAGATTCATAGCATTAGGGAACATACGTAATCAACCTAAATCTTTTTCAATGAATTTTTACAGTTTTTTTAAATATTGGCATTAATTTGAATTTATATTTGCAATATTAAAATTAAAATTTACTTAAGTAATTTATTTATATTGCAGATTAAAAAAAGATAGTTAAAATAAAAAATTATTTAAATATAGCCATGACAAAATATGCTAAAAATAGTTCTGACATGACCCATTTTCGCCATATATTTAAGAAATTATTTAATCGCATTTCCTTTGTCCTGTTGGCTACCTGTAGGTAACACCATAATAATACGACTTGTAACAAATGGGTCAAGCCCTCTACTCCTAATTTGCAGTCCCAAACTCTTCTGTGTAGGCCAGTGGTCGGCAAATCGTGAGTGCGCGGCCACTCTGCCACAAATCGGGTTTGCCTTCGAAAAACATGGTTCTTAATTAACAAAAAATTTGGATCTCAACTTTTTTAAAATCTTCCTGCTGATTTTTGGCTCTTTTGACTAATGAGTGTACCGACTACTGGTGTAGGCCAACAACGGGAAAAAAAGAAAATACAACAAACCAAAACTGCCATATTAACACCAGTCTGGTCACTTAGGTTGGTAGGTCATTTAAGGAGACACGAATTTAAATATTTTTTTTTTTAGGGTAGAAACAAAGATGAAAATCCGTTACTTTTTAGCACTAGCCAATTTCCCTCTGTTAAAGACATGCTTTGAAAAAAAAATTAAAATTGACATGAATAATTTGGTAACAGGCCCGGATCTATTGTCCTTGCGGAGGAGGGGGGAGGGCAGACACAAAATGAGAATCTGTCTAAAATCTGATACTAATAGAGAAATCGGGGGAGGGGAAGGCAAACCATCCATGTGTATGAGGTACATGTAATTAGAGAATCCGGCAACAAAAATCGAACTGACTGTCTTGAATTTGTTCTTTTAGTTGTGTTAATTTCAACAATTTGGTTTTTGTGGATTTAGAAAAAAAAAGTGCAGAGGCAGAGGCGTAGTGAGGGTGTTTGGCGCCCGGGGACAAAATTCGCGCCCGGGGACAAGATCCATTTTAAAGCGCCCCCCCCTTTTTTTTTTTTTAAACTCTCAAACCCATTATTTTCATCAATAAAATAATATCAAAGCACATTTTGGCGCCCCTAACTAGCTGGCGCCTGGGGACATCTGTCCCCCCTGCCCCCCCCCCTCGCTACGCCTTTGTGCAGAGGACAAGGATGCAAATTAGGGCCTGAAATGTTCAAAGCGGCGCATCATCAGTGTAAGTAGAGGATTGCTATCTGGGGCTCACGAAAATGTTCCTTTGTAGTCGGTTGAAATTAAATTTTATTGATAAGAGTATTTAATGGTTTATCTTTTCTTTTTTTTTCCCGTAGATTCACTATTTTAAGAAAAAGCTTGAAATCCAAACCCCTACGGTTAGTCGTTTAAAAAAAAAATATGTATCGTTCTCTCTTTTTTACACCTATAAGAATCTAACTTTAGCTCTTAACTTGTTGTCTATGGACTTGGGGTCCGCAAAAATGTGTTAGGCATTAGGGTACGTCAGCTGAATTTCCTTTGTAATTTCGGGCATATTGTAATTAAAAACTTTAATTTAAGAAGTGGCCTTCACCCGACTGACAAAGGGGCCAATCGCCTTCATCTGACTGGCAAAGGGTCCAGTGGCCTTCATATAAATGGCAAAGGGGCCAGCTGACTGGCAAAGGGTCCAGTCGCCTTCGTCGGACTGGCAAAGTGTCTAGTGGCCTTCATCTGAATGACAAAGGGGCCAATTGCCTTCATATGAATGGCAAAGGGGTGTGTGGCCTTCATCTGTTCATGGAACACACACGATCCCCTGCTATATAATAACCCAGTAAATTAGAAGTGAACACAATTATAAAATCTGAGGGAAAAAAAACAACAACAAACAAACAAAACAAACGTAAGAATAAACAGCCATGTGTAAAGTCAGACAGTAGGTCTATCTTCCATATAATTTGATAAACTGCTCAATCTGAGTATCTTCTGTATTCTACATCTAGCTCGGGCGCTGGATTTAGAGATTCACAACTCCCATAGTTGCGTGGTAAATGTAGGCCAAGGATTCACTTAAAGTCTAGAAGTTTTCAAATCAAGCACATAATAAATGAATTATTTTCCTGAACAACTTTTACGAGCTTGGTCGTGAACTTTTGGCCTACTCTTTGAAAAATCTATTATACGGCATTCTTCAGAGTGGCCCCCACCAAAATGCTCACAATAAATTAAATTAGCACTAAAGCAGTGGTTCTCAACCTTTCTAGTGCCGCGACCCCTTAATACAGTTCTCGTGTCGTGGCGACCCCCCAGCTACACAATTATTTTCGTTGCTACTTCATAGCTGTGAGGATATATGTTTTCAGATGGTCTTAGGCGACCCCTGGAAAAGGGTCCCGCGACCCACAAAGGGGTCGCGACCCACAGGTTGAGAACCGCTGCACTAAAGGGTCGTTCGCAAATTACGTCATGCAAAAAATGAAATTTTTAAGACTCCCCTCCCCCACTGTCACAAAGTTTTACAAATTCTTTACCCCCCCCCCCCCCCCCCCCCCCCCCCCCACCCCGTGTCACGTCACACCAAGGAAAAAAAAATCAAAACATACAAAAATGTTCATACCTAAAGTAAACTAAGATTTTATTTTATTCTTTAACATTTTCCCATAATGGATTAAGATGTAATATTATTAGAAAACTGTGACGCGAAACAACGAAGTCATCTACAAGCTGAATGTAAAATGGCCACAACAGTTTTGGGGTCATTTTTCGATATGCGCAGAAGGTCTGCACGACTGAGTTTCATGCTACCTATAATACCTAAGGCAATGTCAACCTGAAATTAATGTTTTGAAAATGATATTTCAAAATTAGAAAATTTTAGATTAAAAAAAAAAAAAAAGTGACTCACAAATTTTGACCCCCCCCCCTGTCACAAAGTGTCATAAAGTGTCACAAATATTTCATTACCATTATTTAACAGATTTTTATATTTAACTAAAAAAAGGTTTTAAAAAGATATAGGTTGCCAAATTGAGGAGTATGGGTGGGGGGTAGAGGGATCTTAAACTAGCTTTTTTTTTTCTTTTTCTTTCAAGTAGACCTTTTCCCTTTAATTACAAACAAATGTAGGATTTATATATACAACACTTTGTATTAAAAATTTAAGTTGATATTACGTTAACCTTAATTTGATAAAGCACTGAATATTAATGGGGACTTTAAAAAAATGAACGGGTTATCCTATTATTACTAGTTTGAAAATAATACACAATGAAGTATGTTTTTAATAGTTCAGCTGTTGTTGTTTTTTTTCCCCATCGCCGGCCAACAATTTTAAACCGCCCTTTTAACCGAAATGTACAACTGTAGAGCTGTTTTCTTCGTGATCGTATGATTATATGACGCATGTATGTGACCCCCTATTTAACTAAGGAGAGCAATTTAACAATTTAACTGTATCCTGAAAATACAGATGTTTTAAAATGTGGGGTGGGATGTAGAGGGGTGGTGTTGCATATTTTTTTTTTCAATGATCATTTTGTTAAATATTGAATGCCGATCCTAAGTACTTCTAGTTTTAAATGTCGAAATATCGGGTTGTAAAACTGTGAACGTGTTTTTGCGCTGCATAAAATTTGGAGGCAGAACTGTCTGTAAAGAAAAAGAAAATGTCAAGCCTCTATTTTGTAGACTCAACGTTTACAAAAATATAATAATAATAAAATTAAATTAAAATAATAATTACAGTGTTATTAAATATATTTATTAGGTTTAGGAATGTCCTCAAACCTCTTCAAAATGAATAGCAACACTCCTGAAATAGTAAGGGGGCGTGCACACATTATATAACACACAAAAAAATATGACGTTTTAACCCATCCTTACCCACCATTAACGTTAGACATAATTCCACTGACGACCTCCTTATATAAAAACTGAATAAAGTTTAAAAAAAAAAAAAAAAAAATCACAACGAAACAAGTAATTTTCAAGCAAAAAGCTAGAAATTATTTTTTATTACATAAATGTGCTAATTATAGTAAGCAAAATACAAGTTAGATTTTAAAAATCTAAGCCAGGCCTGCACAACTCAAAATATAAGGCGGGCCGTATTATTTTATGAAAAACCTGTGCGGGCAAAAAGAAAATAGGACAGGGCTTGTGCGGGCCAAAAGAAAAAAAGAATAGGGGGGGGGGGGGAGCTATTAAAAAAGTAAAAACTAAAAAAAATAGGTCGTTACTTCGCGGGCCGCAAAAAAAAAAAAAGAAGGGGGGGGGGGGGGGGAGCTATTAAGAAAGTAATAACTATAAAGAATATGTCGTTACTTCGCGGGCCGCAAAGTGGGTGCTGGCGGGCCGTATGTTGTGCAGGCCTGATCTAAGCTAATTTCGTAAAATTGAAAAGCAGAAATTTAGAAAGGTGATTTAATTTCCAGAATTTCTTTTCTAGCCGAGAGAGATTTTTTGCGAATTTTTCTAGATATTTACGAGACGTAATTTTATATAAGATTGTACTCTTTGTGTGTGTGTTAATATTGGTATATTTTTAGGATTATACATTTGACTTGCTGTAAGTTAATATAGTTTTTATTTCCGTCTATGTGATTTTTTAATTCATTAAATAAATTTAATTGTAAAATTAAATTGAATATTATTAATATCACTTGTTTCGGTATCGTTTTTCTTTGTATACTGGTTTTCATTCCTTTGTTATGTATTGTTAAGAAAACAACGAGCCAAATCTTCAGATTACATGAAAAAAAAAAAAAAAAGATAATCACGGCACTTGGGTGTGTGTGTGTGTGGGATGAAAGAAGAAACAAAAATTCTGATTGCAGTTACCAAGGAGAGTCACTGATCCAAAATAAAATATCTAGATTTAAGAAAACAACGAGCCAAATCTTAAAATTAAATGAAAAAAAAAAAAAAAGATAAT